TACACACATTCTGAAACTGTTACAGCTCTCTATGGCTTTAAGCCTTCATGGTTTAGTCATTATTTCTCTTCCTAGGCTTGACCTACTCTCTCTGTAATGTTGAACTAGAACCAGACATCAAAGTGGTAAAAGTAAAGTTTACTCAGAAACAATTTCGATAGAGGAAAGGGGATTTTGGTCTAGAAATGAGCTCATTTCAGAATCCAACAAGGACTATGTGGTTTCCTATTTCAGTAAGGGAAGGAGGCAGATAGTGAATGGGAAATCACCAGGAGGATATATCACAATGAAAAATTTTTGCTAAAACAACTCAATTTGGTTCTTGCTGAAGACAGGCTAGAATAATCTCATATCTCATATCAGAGGTGTGGGGTGGAGGGAGGAGGCATTTCAGCAGCTAGTGAAGATTAGCAGATACTAAAGGTCTAAGGATGGACTTTTCTAGAAGGGGATTCCTTGCTAAAATTGTTAGGACTATTGGGAAGGTGTAGCAATGAGCCTTACAAGGTAATCCTGGGAAAATAAATTCAATTTATTAAATTGTAACTGTTATGGGTACACTGAGAAACGTCCGGTTCTTCCTAGGTCCTGACACCAGGGTAACAGTGTGTCAGAGAAAAGAACATAACCAGACCTTCCATGAATTATTGGACATACTCTCTGAACCAAAATGAATTCTAGAAGATTCAAAATGTCACTCACTCAATGGCTAGAGAAAAAGGTACATGAATGGAGGTGAGCAATAGATTCAAGTCCAATCTCTCCAAAGGGCACAATGTTCCCTAAACCAACCTCATCCACAATTACACAGTATAAAGTCAAAGTAGTTGAACACAGCACCTGCCCGAGTCCTGTCTCTGTTCCTCGAGACATTTACAGATCCCTCTTGTCATGACTACTTCCCCCAGATAGAAAATGGCTGCTCAGAGAGAAAAAAGGTGACCCATTGCCCTGATTTAGGAGCCTTGTCAATGAATTTTACATTTGAAGATCAACAGTAAAGGAAGAATAAAATGTCTGTATGCAATTGTGAACATCACACACACAATACATATAAACATCACACACACAATACATATGTACATCACACACAAACACACAAATACATATATACATCATACACACACCCAAACACACAAATACATATCTATATTATACACAGACACTTTCTTTTAAAGACATCAGAATCAGCAAAAGAGAAGAGACCAAGTCACACTTTTGTAATCTGCTTTTAACAAAATATCTCCTGGACTTCTTATACTACTCTCCACAAATTAGATCAACAAGCTCTGGTAGGTAAAAATCAATTCTGTTTCACTTTAATGCTGCTGCTTATGAATTGTAAGCTAAATTTGCCTCATAAAATTATCTCTCATGTAAAAGTAAGTTAAAATGAGCATGAGCTTGCTCGTTTAAAATAAATTGGCCAACTATTGCTCAGTTTTAAGCCTGCTGTGCTCTGCTTCTCCGGATGGTGATAACGAGATAAAGCATATTCATTGTCAGTCCTTGGTCAGGTCTGTGAGCAAAGGATGGGCTATTCCAAACTACGGCCCGACAGCAAAGGCAAGCTGTGAGAAGTGTTCCTGTTCACTGAGGTCATGAGATAAAGAAATAAATTAAACCTATTTGAAAGGAGCTACAAAGTCAGAGACAGAAGGGTGTCTAGACCTGACCACCAGAATGAAATGATGTAAGGTGTACAAAGACGGCACATGCCACTGCCCGAGACCAGTCTGTGCTACTGAATTACAAACAGTGTTCTATGAATAAAATAGAAAGTGACAGGACACAGGGGATGGCTGAGAGAATAACCTGCTTGCTGCAGGAGTGTGAGAGCCTGAGTTTGAATACCTAGAACACATATGAAATCCCAATGCTGAGTGACGGGGTCGGGTGAGGGTAGGAGACGCAGGAGTATACTCAGAGCTCACTAGCTGGCCAGTGTCGCTGAATCAGCAGGCTTCAGGTTCAATGAGAAACCTTGTCTCAAAAAAGTAAGATGAAGAGAAATAGAGGAGGAGACTCGGCATCAATACACACACACACACACACACACACACACACACAATTTCTAGCTATTTCATGTATAATAAGTGTTACCCTATGTGTTTATAGTGTCATTAATATGTAATTAACATATAACTCAACCATTGCAATCTCTATCTATCTATCTATCTATTTATATCTGTATCATTAATTATCCACACATGTTTGCAATTTTGCAGCAAACAAAAGTCAGTATTGGAACATTTTCAAATATGTGTAAATAGCCCAGACCTTCACATTAGGTAACCACTGGTCTGTATGTATAAAACTTAGCCATTCACAGGAATTTCATATGAATAGAAGCATGATTTATGCTTTTTCCTAACTGGCTTCTGATGGGGAATGTACTTCTGTGGATGTTCATCTTATTGATTGTTGAATAAAGTACTGTTTGGGTAATGAGGCAGCAAGTTAGATGGGACTAGGAGTCAAGAAGGATTCTGGGAAATGTAGTAAAGAAGTGGTGATCCAGGCAGGAAGTGACATAGCAGAGAGACTCATACTTAAGCAAGGACAAGCAGGAAGTGGTTCCTTTCCCGGTTGCTCTTCCTCCTGCTTTCTGCTCTGAGCCACCATATGATCCCGGGGATGAGGATGCCAGTGGAAGGTGTCTGATAAGTCTTATAAAATATATAGATTTATGATAATTAAGACTGAGCTAGCAAGTGAGAAATCCTAGTCATTGGCCAAGCAATATTTGTACATAATATAAGTCTCTGTGTATGATTTTGGCTATCCACGTGGCAGGCAGAACTCAAGCGGGTGGCAGAAAGATTTATCGTAACAGGCTTCATTTTGCAGCATTATCACTCATTTATAAATTTTATTAATGATTAAAAGTCCATAACACATTGAATATCACAAATTTATCCATTCAACTGTTGATGTTTCTTTGGTCTATTTGCCATTTTAGTTATTATGGACAATGTTAACATTTGCACATGTTTTTTGTTGTATGTGTACATGTATAGGAAAGTGTTTGTATGTGAGATGTCTGCATACATATATGTGCAAGTTAGTGTACATTCTTGAGGCCAGAGGAGAACATCGGGGGCCCTTCTCCCTCACTATGCCTTAATATCAAAGGAAAATCTTCTGCCTGATCCTGGAGCTCACATTTGAGATAAGCTGTCAAACAGCAACCCACAGCCCTCCTCTTGCCTCTGCCTGTTCAGTGCTAGGGTCACAGGTATATACAAGACGGTACCCAGCTCTTAGGTGGGTGCTGGTATCTGAACTTCAACTCTTGTTCTTGCACAGTGATCACTCTCAACCTCTGAGCCATCTCTCCAGCTCACATATGTGCACTTTTATACACAAGCATCTTTATTTCTCTTCAGTAGATTCCAAAGAACCCAATTTTTTTTATGGGACAGTTTTCTCACAAAGGGGTTCTAACATGATAATCTTTCTTTCCCAGAAAGAACGCCGTGATTAATGAAGTGTTTTAACAGTCATGCTCAGGTTTTTGTTTTCATCTACCCTCTGCATAAAATACACATGTGAGTATATATTTAATTAATTTCTAAGATGGCTGTGCCATTTCATGTTAAGGTTCAGAGCTCCACATCCTTTTCACAGCCTGGTCTTCCATATTGCCCTAAACTGAACATGTCATCCCAAATTTTATATGGTGAAGCTCTGACTCCAATGTGATGAGACACAGAGAGGCGTTTGGGAGGAAAATGAATTTAGATGAAACCTGAATGGTGGGAATCATACAGTAGGATTTGTATCCTTATAGAAATAGGAAGAGGGGCAAAAGGTCTCCCTTGCCAGGTGAGGACTCAGAGAGACTGCAGTGGTCTCAAAGACAAACAAACTCTTACCACTTCAACTAGGAACTCGATTTTGGACTTTCCATCATTACAAATTGTAGATGTACTCCATACCTTCTGTAAAGTAATCCAGTGTGTGGTATTTTTTTTTTTTGAAAATCATGACCAGAATAGGATAGTTAGGTTTTTTCCATAGACCTCTGAAGCAAGAGAAATTAAAACAATTAAACTAATTGGAAAAAATAAAACTAGAAGATTACATCAATTAAGAAAATTTAATGTAATTGAGAAGAAAATACTATTTTATTGGAATATACAAGAGTTGAGGATGAATGGCATCCAAAGTGGAAGAAATCGAAGCTACATAAAGACAACAAATTGAAAACATGACAAAGATCACAATAACATTTTTATGTGTATTAAGACCTGGAACTGAACTGGAATCCAGTTGCAGAGAAGGACTGATTAGCAAAAGGGACCACCAGGCTGGTGAAACCTACAGAAACAGCTGACCTGAACAAGGGAGAGTTCTTAGTTCCCAGACTGATAGCTGGGAAACCAGCATGGGACTGATCCAGACCCCCCTGAATGTGGGTGTCAGTGAGGAGACCTTGGAAATCTATGGGGCCTCTTGTAGTGGATCAGTACTTATCCCTAGCATAGGAATGGACTTTGGGAGCCCATCCCACATGGAGGGATACTCCCTGAGCCTAGACACAAGGGGGT